AGCAGCACCTACAACTGTTGCAACAACAACAGCAGCACCTACAACTACTGCTGCAACAACAACTGCAGCCCCTACTACTGTTGCAACAACAGCAGCACCTACAACTACTGCTGCTCCGACAACGGTGCAACCTACAACTACTGCTACACCTACAACTGCAGCCCATACTACTGTTGCAACAACAAGAGCAGCACCTACAACTACTGCTGTTCCGACAACGGTGCAACCTACAACTACTGCTTCACCAAAGACAGCAGCACCTACTACTGTTGCAACAACAACAGCAGCACCTACAACTACTGCTGCTCTGACAACTGTGTCACATACAACTACTGCTGCACCAACAACTGCAGCCCCTACTACTGTTGCAACAACAACAGCAGCACCTACAACTGTTGCAACAACAACAGCAGCACCTAAAACTACTGCTGCACCAACAACTGCAGCCCCTACTACTGTTGCAACAACAACAGCACCTACAACTACTGCTGTTCCGACAACGGTGCAACCTACAACTACTGCTACACCTACGATTGCAGCACCTACTACTCTTGCAACAACAGCAGCACCTACAACTACTGCTGCTCCAACAACGGTGCAACCTACAACTACTGCTGCACCTACGACATTAGCACCTACTACTGTTGCAACAACAACAACAGCAGCACCTACAACTACTGCTGCACCTACAACAGCAGCCCCTACTACTTTTGCAACAACAACAGCAGCACCTACAACAGCAGCACCTACAACTACTTCTGCTCCGACAACGGTACAACCTACAACTACAGCTACACCTATAACTGCAGCCCCTTCTACTGTTGCAACAACAACAACAGCACCTACAACTACTGCTGCTCCGACAACGGTGCAACCTACAACTACTGCTTCACCTACAACTGTAGCCCCTACTACTGTTGCAATAACAACAGCAGCACCTACAAGTCCTGCTGCTCCGACAAGGGTGCAACCTACAACTACAGCTACACCTATAACTGCAGCCCCTTCTACTGTTGAAGCAACAACAGCAGCACCTACTACTGTTGCAACAACAACAGCAGCACCTACAACTACTTCTGCTCCGACAACGGTGCAACCTACAACTACTGCTTCACCTACAACTGTAGCCCCTACTACTGTTGCAATAACAACAGCAGCACCTACAAGTCCTGCTGCTCCGACAAGGGTGCAACCTACAACTACAGCTACACCTATAACTGCAGGCCCTTCTACTGTTGCAACAACAACAACAGCACCTACAACGACTGCTGCTCCGACAACGGTGCAACCTAAAACTACTGCTACACCTATAACTGCAGCCCCTACTACTGTTGCAACAACAACAGCAGCACCTACAACTACTGCTGCTACAACAACGGTGCAACCTAGAAGTACAGCTAAACCTACAACAGCAGCACCTACTGCTGGAGCCCCTACAACAGCTGCACCGACAACTGTTGCTGCTACAACTGCAGCACCTACAACTGCCTCACCTACAACCGGCGCTCAAACTACTGCCAAACCTACAACAGCTGCACCAACAACTGCAGCTCCTACCACTATGGCTCCTACAACATTAGCACCTACGACTGGAGCCCCTACAACAGCTGCACCCACAACTGAAGCACAAACAACTGCAGCTCCTACGACTGACGCACCAACCACAGTCGCTCCTACAACTGCGGCTCCTACGACGGCCGTACCTACAACCGAGGCTCCTACGACTGCAGCACCTACCACTGTTGCTGCTAAAACTGCAGCACCTACAACTGCCTCACCTACAACCGGCGCTCAAACGACAGCCAGACCTACAACAGCTGCACAAACAACTGCAGCTCCTACAACATTAGCACCGACAACTGTTGCTGCTACAACTGCAGCACCTACAAATGCCTCACCCACAACCGGCGCTCAAACTACTGCCAAACCTACAACAGCTGCACCCTCAACTGAAGCACAGACAACTGCAACTCCTACGACTGCAGCACCTACCACTGTTGGTCCAACAAATGCAGCAATTATAACAGCAGCAGCTACAACTGCCTCACCTACAACAAGCAATCCAACGACGACCGCACCTACAACTGCAGCTCCTACAACTGCCGCACCTACCACAGTCGCTCCTACAACTGCGGCTCCTACGACGGCCGCACCTACAACCGAGGCTCCTACGACTGCAGCACCTACCACTGTAGCTGCTACCAGTGCAGCACCTACAACTGCCTCACCTACAACCGATGCTCAAACGACAGCCAAACCTACAACAGCTGCACCAACAACTGCAGCTCCTACTACTATGGCTCCTACAACATTAGCGCCTACGACTGGAGCCCCTACAACAGCTGCACCGACAACTGTTGCTGCTACAACTGCAGCACCTACGACAGCAGCACCTACAACTGCCTCACCTACAACCGGTGCTCAAACTACTGCCAAACCTACAACAGCTGCACCAACAACTGCAGCTCCTACTACTATGGTTCCTACAACATTAGTACCTACGACTGGAGCCCCTTCAACAGCTGCACCCACAACTGAAGCACAAACAACTGCAACTCCTACGACTGCAGCAACCACAACAGAAGCCCCTTCCACTATCGCTCCTACAACTACAGCCCCTACAACACTTGCACCAACAACCGAGGTTCCTACGACTGCAGCATCTACCACTGTTGCTGCTACAACTGCAGCACCAACAACTGCCTCACCTACAACCGGCGCTCAAACGACAGCCAAACCTACAACAGCTGCACCAACAACTGCAGCTCCTACTACTATGGCTCCTACAACATTAGCACCTACGACTGGAGGCCCTACAACAGCTGCACCAACAACTGTTGCTGCTACGACTGCAGCACCTACAACTGCCTCACCTACAACCGGCGCTCAAACTACTGCCAAACCTACAACAGCTGCACCAACAACTGCAGCTCCTACCACTATGGCTCCTACAACATTAGCACCTACGACTGGAGCCCCTACAACAGCTGCACCGACAACTGTTGCTGCTACAACTGCAGCACCTACAACAGCAGCACCTACAACTGACTCACCTACAACCGGTGCTCAAACTACTTCCAAACCTACAACAGCTGCACCGACAACTGTTGCTGCTACAACTGCAGCACCAACAACTGCCTCACCTACAACCGGCGCTCAAACTACTGCCAAACCTACAACAGCTGCACCAACAACTGCAGCTCCTACCACTATGGCTCCTACAACATTAGCACCTACGACTGGAGCCCCTACAACAGCTGCACCCACAACTGAAGCACAGACAACTGCAACTCCTACGACTGCAGCACCTACCACTGTTGGTCCAACAAATGCAGCAATTATAACAGCAGCAGCTACAACTGCCTCACCTACAACAAGCAATCCAACGACGACCGCACCTACAACTGCAGCTCCTACGACTGCCGCACCTACCACATTCGCTCCTACAACTGCGGCTCCTACGACGGCCGTACCTACAACCGAGGCCCCTAAGACTGCAGCACCTACCACTGTTGCTGCTCCAAGTGCAGCACCTACAACTGCCTCACCTACAACCGGCGCTCAAACGACAGCCAAACCTACAACAGCTGCACCAACAACTGCAGCTCCTACTACTATGGCTCCTACAACATTAGCGCCTACGACTGGAGCCCCTACAACAGCTGCACCAACAACTGTTGCTGCTACAACTGCAGCACCTACAACTGCATCACCTACAACCGGCGCTCAAACGACTGCCAAACCTACAACTGCTGCACCTACAACAGCATCAACCACAACAGCAGCCCCTACCACTATTGCTCCTACAACTACAGCCCCTGCCACTGTTGCTTCTACAACTGCAGCACCTACAACAGCAGCACCTACAACGGCCTCACCTACAACCGGTGCTCAAACGACAGCCAAACCTACAATGGCTGCAACCACAACAGCAACTCCTACCACTATTGCTCCTACAACTACAGCCCCTACAACACTTGCACCAACAACCGAGGCTCCTACGACTGCAGCACCTGCCACTGTTGCTGCTACAACTGCAGCACCTACAACAGCAGCACCTACAACGGCCTCACCTACAACCGGCGCTCAAACAACAGCCAAACCTACAACAGCTGCAACCACAACAGCAACTCCTACCACTATTGCTCCTACAACTACAGCCCCTACAACACTTGCACCAACAACCGAGGCTCCTACGACTGAAGCACCTACCACTGTTGCTGCTACAACTGCAGCACCTATAACTGCCTCACCTACAACCGGCGCTCAAACGACAGCCAAACCTACAACAGCTGCACCGACAACTGTTGCTGCTACAACTGCAGCACCTACAACTGCCTCACCTGCAACCGGCGCTCAAACTACTGCCAAACCTACAACAGCTGCACCAACAACTGCAGCTCCTACCACTATGGCTCCTACAACATTAGCACCTACAACTGGAGCCCCTACAACAGCTGCACCTACAACTGAAGCACAAACAACTGCAACTCCTACGACTGCAGCACCTACCACTGTTGGTCCAACAACTGCAGCACTTACAACAGAAGCAGCTACAACTATCTCACCTACAACAAGCAATCCAACGACGGCCACACCTACAACCGAGGCTCCTACGACTGCATCACCTACCACTGTAGCAGCTACAACTGCCTCACCTACAATAAGCAATCCATCGACGACCGCACCTAAAACAGCAGCACCCACAAGTGCTGCACCAACTACCCCGCTTGCAACCACTGATGCACCCACATCAGCAGCCCCTTCGAGTGTTGCAAAAAACCCTGCTACTCTGACGAGTGCAGCACCTACAACTGGCACTTCCATGACATCAGCAACAACAAGAGCTGCACTTTCAACTGCAGCATCTACGACAGCAGACCCTAACACTGTCACGCCAACTACACCTGTTGCAACAAACACTGTGGTATCAGAAACGGCTTATATTCTCTCAGCAGAACTGATAGGACCGACTTATTCACCTGCCCTCAGTAATTCCAACAGCGATGAATATAAAGCACTTAAAGTAACAATACAAAAAGCGGTAAGAGCATTTTCAAAATATGCATTTGCCATTGATTGATTATAGCGGTGTGAAAAAAGCATTTTACAGAATGTTTTTGCAACTGTCATATCTGTTTAGAAAGAATGTTCTTAAACAATAATCAAGGTCTTTGAATGTTGCTTTCTTTTGCAGTGTAACGAGAAATACAGCCTCAAATTCCCAACTACGTTTTCCGACTGCCGTTTGAAAAGCTTCAGGTAAGAAGATTTTCCTAGAGTGCTTCTCTGATTGAACTCTAAATGCAAGAATTCAGTCTTAAAATGTGTATCTCTAATCCTAATCGTGTCATAAGAACACATTAAACAAGGCAACAGAATCATCTCAAGTCATAATATAATACTTGTCCCCTTCCCTTCTATTTTACAGTGCCTTAAATACACCACAAGGGTCTGAAACTCAAGCAACTGTGGGGGTTGTGTTCCATCAGACTACTGCCATTGCAGATCTCCCACAGAATGATATTGTTGCTCAAACCTTAGTAGAAGCTCTGAGTAATTCCAACAATATTCCTAACCTGAGCATTAATCCTGCTTCAGTCATAGTATTGGGTAAGTAAACACAAGAAAATATTGTACCATCATCATTTGAAATACATTTGGAATAGAATGTGCCGCTCAAGTTCAGTTCATAAATAAGTCAGCAACTGAACTCAACTGAAACATATGTATTTGTTTCACAGCAAGTCCAGTTCCAGATCCGATTACAACTGCTCCACCTACAACCACACCATCCACAGCAACAACAACACCTGCAGCCCCTGAACCCACTTATATTCTCTCAGCAGAATTTAAAGAAGTGGCTTTTTCACCTGCCCTCACTGACTCCAACAGCGATGAATACAAAGCACTTGAAACAGCAGCTCTAAATGCGGTGAGAGCATTTCCAAAACATACATCTGTTATTGATTGCATAAGCAATTTGAAAAAGATGATTGAACAGAATGTGTTTGCCCAAAGAATACCTTTTTTTTAAATAAAAAGATAAATTCAGTTGACCTGTTGTAATTTCATTTAGGGAAAAGTGTGCTTGAAATGTACTTATGGTCTTTGAATGTTGCTTTCTTTTCACAGTGTAACAATGAATACAGAAGCATGTTTCCAAACACGTTTTCCCACTGCATTTTGAAAAACTTCAGGTAAATGAAAAATCAAAGTGTGCTTCTCTGATTGAATTCTATATGAAGGGTTGAGAACTTAACATTGGTAACTTCCAATCGTGATGGAATCATAAGTTATAACCACCTATTTAAAAAAGAAACAGGATCATCTCATGTCATAGTATAACACTTTTTCCTCTCTTTTCTATGATACAGTGCCTTAAATCCACCAAAAGACAACGAAACTCAAGCAACTGTGGGGATTGTGTTCCATGGGACTACTGCCATTGCAGATCTCCCACAGAATTATGTTGTTGCTCAAACCTTAGTAGAAGCTCTGAATAATTCCACCAATAGTCCTAACCTGAGCATTAACCCTGCTTCAGTCAAAGTATTAGGTAAGTAAACACATCACAATGAATCGTCCTTTCTGATCAGTGAATTCAACATTTGGTTAGTACTAACATATCCTTTTCAATATGTATTTGTTTCACAGCAAGTCCAGTTCCAGATCCGATTACGACTGCTCCACCTACAACAACACCATCCGCAGCAACAACAACACCTGCAGCCCCTGAACCCACTTATATTCTCTCAGCAGAATTTAAAGAAGTGGCTTTTTCACCTGCCCTCACTGACTCCAACAGCGATGAATACAAAGCACTTGAAACAGCAGCTCTAAATGCGGTGAGAGCATTTTCAAAATAAACATATTTTATTGATTGCAGAAGCAATGTGAAAAAGATGATTGAACAGAATGTGCTTGCCCAAAGAATACCTTTGTTTAAATACAAAGATAAATTCAGTTGACCTGTTGTAATTTCATTTAGGGAAAAGTGTGCTTGAAATGTACTTATTTCCTTTGAATGTTGCTTTCTTTTCACAGTGTAACAATGAATACAGAAGCATGTTTCCAAACACGTTTTCCCACTGCATTTTGAAAAACTTCAGGTAAATGAAAAATCAAAGTGTGCTTCTCTGATTGAATTCTATATGAAGGGTTGAGAACTTAACATTGGTAACTTCCAATCGTGATGGAATCATAACCACTTATTTAACAAAGAAACAGGATCATCTCATGTCATAGTATAACACTTCTTCCTCTCTTTTCTATGATACAGTGCCTTAAATCCACCAAAAGACAACGAAACTCAAGCAACTGTGGGGGTTGTGTTCCATGGGACTACTGCCATTGCAGATCTCCCACAGAATGATGTTGTTGCTCAAACCTTAGTAGAAGCTCTGAGTAATTCCACCAATATTCCTATCCTGAGCATTAATCCCGCTTCAGTCAAAGTGTTAGGTAAGTTAACATAACAAATTATTTTACCATCATCATTTTGTAATACATTTGGAATAGAATGTGCCGCTCAAGCTCAGTTCATAAATAAGTCAGCAACTGAACTCATACTGAAAACCTCAACAATATTCAGTGTTGTACAGTCCTATCCATGCATGACAAACTCTTCTCCAAACTATCTTATATTCAGTAAGAAAGCTTTTTAATTGAATAATCTCTTATTTACTGATATATATCGTTACTCATCATTCACTAGATAAGATAATAGAATGTTTGCAAAGACTACTTTTTGAAAGCCTTTTATTAGGGTCTGAGACCATAGGTCGGCGAAGACCCTATTGAAATCGGTCGCACAGCGACCGATAAACCTGCGAAAAACACATGAAAACAGGGAAAACGACCGGCAAAAGCACAGAAAAGGTTCGGAAAAAGCTTCCAAACGGCACCAGACTTCAGATGACAGTTAATGGTCCGGCCCTCAACAGCTCTACGTGAAATCTGAGATCTCATCATATGCCGTTTCCATGGCAACGCATCTCTCGCCATAAAACACGAAGTTGCTGTTACTCCTATGAAAATGGTTCCAAACTGCACCAGACTTCAGATGACAGTTAATGGTCCGGCCCTCAACAGCTCTACGTGAAATCTGAGATCTCACCGTATGCCGTTTCCATGGCAACGAATCCCACGCCGTAAAACACGACGTTGTCTTACGTCAATGGAAAATGCTCCAAACTGCACCAGACTTCAGATGACAGTTAATAGTCCGGCCCTCAACTGCTCGAGACACCTACACACACACCTCGACGTGCGGACAACAGCCTGCGGAGCGTCGAAGACCCGCTCAACGCTGCTTGCAGCTTTAATTAGGGTCTGAGACCATAGGTCGGCGAAGACCCTATTGAAATCGGTCGCGCAGCGACCGATAAACCTGCTAAAAACACCCAAAAACAAGGAAAACGACCGGCAAAAGCACAGAAAAGGTTCGGAAATAGTAACGGCAGATAGTCCGCGCGAGCCCAGTCACGTGGGCTTCGCCCACGTGATTGCAACTCGCATAATTAATATCGTTACGATCAATTTAGTCGCTCGCGAAGCGAGCGATAACCATGCAAAACCCACTAAAAACAGGGGAAAAGACGGGTAAAAGCCCATTAAAAGTGGCCTAAATCATGACAGTAGGTAGCCCAACGGCCTACAGTGACGTGGGCGTAGCCCACGTCACTGTAAACGAGCACATTATTGATATTGGTCCGATTATTATTATTATTATTATTATTATTATTTGAACTTTTCGCGCGCACTTTTGACACCCGCCACATCTCTGACTATTTATTAATATAGAGTTCAACATGTGTATCTTCTAATATTGGTAGTTAATCATACATATCAAAAGACAATATTATAATCTCATATTACTTTCCCCATTTTGTTTCTGATACAGTGCCTCAAATGTAACACGAGTTCCTGAAACTCGGGCGACTTTCATAGCTGTGTTCCATGGGAATACTTCTCACGCAGACCTCCCAATGAATTCTACTGTTATTAAAGAATTCGTACAAGCTGTCAGTAATTCCAACAATGCCTACAACTTCAGCATAAATCCCAACTCAGTCATGATATTAGGTAAGTATCCACAACACAATATTTAGTCATTGTGAGATCGCAAAAAAAATATAGAAAACATGAGCTTCTTATGCTCTGTTTATAAATAAATCACCTAAATGATTCTACTTTGAAACTAAATGAAGGTACAGATTATTGAAGACAACATCCAAGCATGATAATCAATTATCTTAACTACCTTTTATTTAAAACCAAAAGGAATTGTTATTAACTGCACTGGTTTTTCAAATTAGCTAGTTCAAAACTAGATTATATGACTCTGCTAAACCGATTTTTGTTTTACAGACAGTCCAGTGACAGATCCAACTACAGCTCCCACACCTAGACCTGCTGCACCTAACACTGTTGCAGCTGCGACTACTACTACTACTGCTGCACCCATAACTGAAGCACTCGTTATAAAAAGGGTGATATTCAGTTCCCTTCTCACCGACTTTACAAGTGACTTGCTGAATCCATCATCTACAGCTTATATAAATCGGGCAGCGAAGATTAAAGAACAGGTACGTCTCACTCTAAGAAAGATCTCTGAATATTGAATAAGGACAGATCAAGTACACACTGTCACACTCAAAGAATACAATAAATAAAAACTCACAAAACAGTCAATATATAATATATTTTCGCACTTACATTTCCAGAATGAATTGTTGACAGAGATGTATATGACGACAAATAAATGCTCTCATATGTTCACAGTTCAATGTTAATGTAAATGTCGAGAGTAAAGTAAAAAGTTGTATACCTTTGTATTTTCCTCTGTTTACAAACTGTTTCCTGTTTCTGCAGCTTACACCTGTTTTTAAAAGGGAATTCCCTTCATTCAAGTTCTTGGAAGTGAAATCATTCAGGTAAATTTTTTTATGACATATCGAGTGACAGTTAATGAATAGTGGCCTAAATCTGATATTTTAAACATTAACGATTTTTTCTTCTGCAGTAATGGATCGATCGTCAACAACATGGACCTCAGCTTTTCAAGCACATCTGTTCCTAATAACGATCAGATAGCGCAGGTCTTAATGAGCGCAGCTGCAAGCATCATCGGCTTCGACATTGAAGGCAGCTTCCTCGACCTGAATGGCATTTGTAAGTCAAACTGAGTTAATCAACAGTGCAGTCAAAAGATGCACACTTGTTTAACTAAAGTTTGTTTCGTTCTTCTCCTTTCAGATTCAAGTGGAGTGAGCCATTACATCAGTCCGATCACTGCATCCTTCCTAGTACTGTTGTCATGGCTACTGTCCAGCCAATGGCCGTCGTGCCACTCATTTGAGAAATGACTCCGGTGTAACAACATAACATTGGGATGTAAGGCAATAATTGCACTAATAATAATTAATCTTGCTCCAGTAAGCACTTTCCTTTAG